TTTTTTTTTTTTTTTTTTTTTTGAGACAGGGTCTAACTATGTAAGACACACAGTGCCAGATCCAGTGACTGGCCTTGAACTTGTAGCAATTTTCCTGGCTCAGCCTTCCCAGTGTTGGGATTACAGATGTGTGCCACCACACCTGGCATTAGTCCCTGTTTAAACCCTCTATATCTTCACTTATTTGGCTTGTTTACCAGGTGTAATTTAAAAAGAAGAGACAGTGAAGGCTGTCACTGAATGAAAGGCAGGACCTTCAACAGGAGACCTGCAGGTGGATCCTCAGTGACAGCAGTGTGTGACAAGTTTCTGTGTGCGCGCTGTGAGCCTCTGCTTAGAAAAGGTGTATTGTAGAGTGTGCACAGATCACGGACAGCACACTTCACTGGTGTACAGCTGTGCTGCTTCAGAGTCTAGCCTTCTAAGCACCATCGTCACGGGAGATGAAACTGTCTGTGGCTGCGTCCTGGAAGCAGGGCTCAGGGTCTCTGTGGAAACCACCCAGTTCCCCTGCGGTGAGAAATCCTGTCTAGCAGGACCCAGCACCAAGGTGCTGTGAACTGTGCTTTGTGACCCAGATGGAATTGTGCAGCAGAGTTGGTATCCAGGAATACTATAGGGACTCTGAATAAAATAAAGGTTTATTAGAGTATTTAAGAAACTGTGTGTGTAGAAAGTGGCTGGGGAAATGGGTCTATGGTTTCATCCTCCATCACAACAATATCCTGGGTCACACATTGCTTCTGGTGCAGCTATTTCTGTCACATGAAAACATGATGCTGTGTCCTTATCCACCTTAGTCATTGGATCTGGCACTGTGTGTCTTCTGGCTTCTCCCCAAAGTCAAAATGACCATAAAAAGTGAACATTTTTAATCAATTCAGGACACTGAGGCAGCCTGGACAGTACAACTGGACACTCACGAAAGAGGACTCCAGAGCTGTTGCAGAAAGTGGTAAGAACCATGGGATGAGTGTGTCGGAAGTACAGGGGAGGGCTCAGAGGGGACTAATGGCAATGTGTCTCACTGTAATAATTTACAAAAATGTAAATATTTACTGTATCTTTTGATCATACCTCACAGTATCTCTGTAGTACTCTAAATCACATCCCTACCTCTAAATACATCCTATCACATGGATACAGACACAGAGAGAAACAACCAACACACACGCACCATAGTCTATTGAGTTCAACAGGAGAGATTAACTTCTCTGAGCCTTGATGTTCTCATCCATGCAGTGAACATGAAGAGAGTTTCCCTGGTCTACCAGAAGGGGAAGAGTGAAATTGAACTTTTTAAAAGATGAAATGCTTTCTGTGAAAGCATGGTATACAAATATGAGGTGGTGTTTATTGTTAAACCACATTGTCCAGAAACAATAACGAAACATCTTTGTGTTCCTATAGCAAGCCCTTCTTTCCTCACAGCTCAGCCTTTGGGAACCGGCTAAGGCCTGGTGATGCTCTGCCTGGACTCATGAGTGGAGCCACTTGAAGTCACTCAAAGAGGGCTAGGGAGGTGGCAGCAGGGGACCCTGGGAGGCAGGGGCCTGGGTGGAGCATAGGGAACCCCAGACTCTGCTGCACTTCCAGAGGTGGGGCGGGGCCTCCTGGCCAGGTCACGGCAGGATTTTGGATACCAGCAAGGTCTGTGCCCATGGGGTCAGCAGGCTCTCAAAAGCCAACTCAGAACCACTGATTGACTTAGTGTAAGTTCATCTTTAATCCCCTGAATAGAAATATATTACAGATTTCCTTTTCTTGGCAGTGCTGGGGATTGAACTCAACATCCCGTGCTACAGCCCCAGGCCTCCTTTTATATTAGCTCACGTTTATAATACACAATGACTGCATCTCTTGTGGGAGCTGGCACAAGTGCATAACACAGCTTCGTCCTTTTTACTTCTCTTTCTTCTCTTCTTCCTCCCCATCCCTCCAGCTCTTGATTCCCCTTCCCATTTGCCAAAGATCTATCTCCCTACTTCCTGTTATCTATCTTTTATTTTTACATTATTTATAATTTGGGCTTCTCATATAAGAGAAACCATACGATACTTAAGCTTGTGTGTCTGATTTATTTCACTTAATAGGGTGTTCTCAAGGTGGGTCCATTTTCCTACAAATGACTCAAAATTTCCTTCTTTAAAACACAGGATTGCCTTTTTTACTTTATTTTATTTATTTTGAAATAGTGTCTTGCTAAATTCTTAAGTTTCCTGGGCTGGCCTTGAATTTACAGTCATCCGGCCTCAGCCTCCCACTAGCTCGGATTTTACCATACCCAGTGAAAATTCAGTCTTAAAGATAATGTGAGTCTTCTAAGTGTCCTCAGGTTAACTCCAAAGGTGTTTCCATGATCTGCTAGGTCCCGCCTGCCTGGGACTGAGTTCCCCCATGATTCAACTACGAGAGCTCCAGATTTATCCTTGAGCCAGAGTGGGAGGCCTGGGGGCTGCTCCCACAGGTACCACTGAGGCCCTCCAGGTACGGGTCTACCTCGACATTCTTCCTGGGGCTGGCAGGGCCTCAGGACTGCACCTTTTTCCTATGATCCCTTGGCCTCTTGACACTGCCTGTTTCCAGGGCCCAAAGAGCAGGCAGTGACTGTAACAGCGGGAAAGGACAGCGACGCTGTCCAGTGCTATCCGTACAAACCTGTAGCCTAGGCCGGTGGGCAGTGCAACAGGACCACATGCCCAGGTTCCAAGCCTAACACCAGACAAAAAAGGAAGAAGTAGAAGAAACTTGAGGTGGTTGCTTCTCCAGGGCAAGAGCCGTCCCTGAGAGTTGCATTCTCAATGGTGCAAGGTGGTGATACCAGGGCATGGTCTGTCCCTGGGGTCCTTCAGGAGTGCACCCAGCATCTGGTCCTATGCCAGGCTCTGGGACTGTGATGTCTCTGCAGCTAAGTCATCAGCAACCCAGGAAGGGGACAAGGAAGCCATCTCCATGGGAAGCCTGTGCCTGCCAGGCTCCCCCGCGCATGCACACAGGCTGGCTGCTAAGGGACCAGGTGACAATGCAGAGCCCCAGTACCCCATAAGACAAGGAGGGCAGCAAAGCCCAACACCTGTTACCCACTTACTGTATGCGCTCTCCCTGATGGCGAACTCCCTAAGCGGGGCTCCGAACTCACAGGGTAGGCGCAGGGACAGCACCTTCTTCTGCAACTTGGTGGACTTGCGTACCAGGAAGATCTGTGAAGGAAGGAGGAATTTGAGCTTAGGGATGTCAAGGAGCCTGGAACCTGGGCATGCAGTTTTCCTGAGACCTGAAGTCCTTCCTGCCCATCTGTACTATTCAGCATATTTGATGAACATAAATTCTTAACACAGGTAACATGGTTCAACCAAAAGGGGTGAATTGGGAGTTCATTTGGTTTATGGTACATTTAAGACAGGAATCTGAATATGCCATGTAATGTACTGTTGCACAGGCTGAGCACTGTACAACTCCAGGACGTACCATTCACCTGACCTAAAAACTGGATGGTGCTCCCTTGGGCAGGCAGTGTGAGTCCTGGTTCCCCTTTTGCAGCATACAACCCTGTCCTGCGTCTTGACTTATCTTTCCTCTGGATCTGGACACCTGACTTCTTTCCTTTTCCCCACTGAATCACTCCTCCTCCCAACATTCAACTCACAGCTCCTAAGCTGGTTCCCTGGGGAGGCGGTGGGTACTGAAGCTGGGGGCTGGGTGAGAGGGAGCTGGGGAGATGGGGGGGTGGTTTTATTTTCAAGGAGTCAAGACTCACTTTGAAGTGAGAAAGTGCTGCAGATAGAAGCAGACGGGGTCTGGCTGCCAGGAAACTCACAGGTTCAGTTTCCAGCCCTGTGGCTGGGACAGTCAGCCAGCTTCAGACTGATTTTCTCCCTGCCATTCCAATTCATTTATTCACCTAGTATTAGGGACTGAACTCAAGAAGCACTAAGATGCACCCCCAGCCCTTTTAATTTTATTTTAAGACAGTCTTGCTGAGTTGCCCAGGGCTGCCCTTGAATTTGCTGTCCTTCAGCCTCATTCTCCTGAGTAACTGGGATTATAGGTGTGTGCCACTACATTTAACCTCTCCTGCTATTTCTTAGTTTCTGTCTGTGTGCTTTAAGTACTATTTGACCTCCTGCTTCAGCTTTCCAGAGGCCCCCATCTTACCCCGGGCGGCTGCGCCTGCAGGACCTCAGCTGCCTCCTCTTCGCTCAGGCCAAGCTGCAGCCAGACAGGGTGCGTGTGCAGAAGCCGGTCCAGGATGCTGAGCCTGCCAGACAGGCTGTCGTAGCCAGAGTCCCTTGGGCCACCCTTCACCTCCTTGTCCTCGGGGCAGGGGTCCTCCTGGTGTCTGACCATGCTGGGAGAGAGAGGCAGGGTCAGTGGCTGCCAGTCAGGTCCCCACCAACAAGACCAACACTTAAGTTCACAGGGTGGGCCATTTTGGGGTCACCACCTGTCATGTTTTATGCAGATGTCCCCAAGAGGACATGTGCTCAGAAGCAGGGCTTTGGAAGTTGACTGAATTGTGGGTACTCAGGCTAACATGTGGTTAGTAGGTGGGGTCTGGCTGGAGAAGATGTTTGTCATTCTCCGGCTCCTATCTTCTCTCTTTGTTTCCTGGCCACCATGATGCAAGCAGCTCTCCTCCACCAGGCCCATCCATTATGCTGTTCCTGCCTTGGAGACAGCCAACTATGGACTGAATTCTCTACAGCCATAAGCCCAAAGTAAACCTCTCCTCCTTCACCCACGAGTGTCATGATTGTGTCCCAATTGGCAAGAAAATGGCTAAGACACCACCTTAGTGTTCTCCCCTAAGGACTAAGAGATTTGAGGAAAGATAGGTGCATTATTTGATTCTATTTTCCTAACTTTGAAGAGTACTTTATATTCAAGGGACTCAAATGTCTACCTCTAACTTGTTGTCAAAAGGTTCTGAGCATCCAAAAGAATTGTTTAGCTCAGGTTTTGTCTTTAGGCATAAAACTGCTTGAGTTTGAGGACAGAACCCTAAGTGCTAAATTCCAGGTGTGGTAGCTGAGAAGTTCTGATGTTCAAAGCATGAACAGCTCCACTCCAAGGGCAAAATGTACTTGGGCAAAACAGTCATTATGTACCTGATCTGATGAGTGCATTTTGCTTCTTTGAACCACTCCAAGTATTTTAATCACTGGTATTATTTATAATAAAACCCCACAGGGGAATGGTACCATGCTATTTATAAAATCATACTGAGGGGCTGGGGATTTAGCTCAGTAGTGTTGCTGAATTTGAGTACAAGGACTTGAGTTCGATCCCCAGCACCCCCACCAAAGTACATAAAATCATACTGAGATTATTCACAATGGCCCATGGGTCCCTATTAGCAGATGGATGGATCGACAAACCATGGTCTCTCTTTCCAGAGGAATATTACCCAGCCACAAAAAGGTAGGACAGACACAGGTCATCTTTGAGGGACAGAAGGCAGACACATGGGCCACACTGTCTGATCTTCTGAGAAGTTCAGAGTAGCAGACCCATAGAGACAGAGAGCAGCTCGATGTGGACAAGGGTAAAGAGTAAGGTGACTGGGGATGGATTCCATGTTTCTTGGCAGTGGGTAGTATATTGGTATCAGAGGGTGGTAAGGGCTACAAAACCTTGTGAACAGACTCAACACTTGGAGTGAATCATCTCCTTTAGAGGTGAATTTGTGGCCCAAGAATCACAGTAGTACCTAAAGCTTATTGCCCTTGCTCTGTGCCCATCCTGATCCTGTCGGTGAGCATTAGTCCCTATTTACAAATGAGAGATCAAGGCCAGAGACAGAGAGTCAGGAAGTGGCTGGGCTCCACCCAGAGTGAAGGTCCAGCCAGCACTCAGCCAACTCTGGGAAGCCCAGGGCCAGCCCATGTGGCATCCTTACATAAGCGTGAAGGGATCGACACTGCCCCAAGTGTGTTGTCAGATCGTCCCGCATCTGTGTGGTGCCTGCTATGTGCACTGCCCCTCCGTACACCTCTCTCTTTCGCTCCTTGCCACAGCCTGCTTCACAGTCCTGCGTTCCTGGTGTTTAAGAACAAGGACCAGGAGGCTCAGCCTCATGAGTGTCTTATCCACTTCCAGGCTGCTCAGCTCTGGGTCCTTTGCCCTCTCCCATATACACAGGTGACACTTTCCTGCCTAGATCCCTGAAGCAGCCCTGGAACACTGGAAGGAGCGGCCAGGAACACCCAAAAAGGCTGATCTGTCTCTGCCATCTCCAGTGGCCATGTCTTGCCAGGACCAAGTTGCACAGGGTGACCTGACCTTTTTCCTTAGAAGGTCACATCTTGTGATGCATCCTGGCTTTCAGGTGCTTAAAAAGCCATTGTTCCATCACTGACCTTGGTCCTACAGGTGCCCACACCTGGCCTCAAAGAGCTCACAGTGCCCTTTCCTGGGAGTGGCCCAGGGTGCCAAGGATAGACTGACATTGGCCGTGGATGGGTGGCCTCCTGCATCAAGATGGAACAGCTCTGAGGGGCTGTTCACACTCCTGAGCTCCCAGTGGGGCCAGACAGACACCACATCTCTGCTTGCCTCCCTCTGTCCTGTCCTGTGTCTCCCACTCCTTCCAGGGCTACCCCCAAGAGCCTCTCGCACAGTGACATGAACAAGAATTCCTGCATAAGCCTCTGCCTCCAGGGAAATTCACAGAAGCAGGACCTGCTGAGGTTGCAAATGCTGGTGACTTTTAAGATGCACGTCTGCATGCAAATAAGGGGGGGTGAAAAGGATGTGTGGCTTGTGGGAGGTAGGCCACTGTGTGATACAGCCCAGGAGAGTCTCAAAGGGACATGATCACAGAGGGTGGCCAAGTACTAGCCTCCGTCTAGGAGAATGGTGCTTCACCCAGTCAAATGCTGGTGACTTTTAAGATGCACGTCTGCATGCAAATAAGGGGGGGTGAAAAGGATGTGTGGCTTGTGGGAGGTAGGCCACTGTGTGATACAGCCCAGGAGAGTCTCAAAGGGACATGATCACAGAGGGTGGCCAAGTACTAGCCTCCGTCTAGAAGAATGGTGCCCTTCACCTAGCTCGGCCAGGCATGAGAGACCTTGGGGGGGGGCTCCTTTTTGAGTCTTTTCTTTTTCATCTGAAAATGGAATTTGCTAACACCACAAACCAGAAAGTAATCAATGGAAGCAAGAACCATGAATGGATGCTAAAACCAGGACACAGAAGCCTGGCAGGAAACAGGAATGTTCAGTCTTAAAATATCACGGACCAGGCCAGTGATTTGGCTCAGTGGTTCCGCTGCCTGCCTTAACAAGTGTAAAGGCTCAAGTTTGATTCCCCAGTACATAGAAAAAAAAAAAAATATATATATATACATATACATATACATATACATATATATGATCACCTATGGATGGCTTAGTTGCTGAGGAAGAGGAGAACGTGATTTGACAATGGATAAAGTGGCAGGCACCACCTTAATCATGAGATCTGTGTCAACTCCTGCTGCCACATGACACCCACAGGAAATTCCGAGGACACCGTCTTTTCCTGTGGCTTCTCCTGCCCCTAAGTATGCTGAAGGACCTGGAGGGACTCAGGAGGACACCAACAGATCTACCTGTAGGAGATTCATCATTCTTCAGAAAATTCAGATGTCAGAAAACATTTTTAAAGGCTGTAGGATTTCTGCCCCCCCAAGTACTGGGGATCAAACTGGAAGGCGGCATTACCACTGAGCTAAATCCATGGCCCTGTAGGATTTCTTTAGATGAAACAAGGATAAAGAGATTTTGTAAACTGGGCATGGTGGTACACACCTGTAATTCCAGCACTCAGGAGACTGAGGCAAGTGGATCACCATGTGTTCGAGGCTATCCTGGGCTCCACAGTGAGTTCCAGGCCAGTCTGAACAACACAGTGAGACCCTGTCTCAAAAACAAAAATAATAAAGAGAGAGAGAGAGGTGGCAACTACATTGGTTCTGTGGATTTGAGCTCACAGTGCATGAGAATTTTCAAAAGCTACAAAGGACAGTCGGATATCAATTAGATCACACTGGGCTTAGTTTTATTTCCTGAATGGGATCATCTTCTAATGCTTGTGTAGGAAAATCCTCTTACTCTTAGGATATGCAAACAGAAGAATCTAGGAGCAATGCGTGAAAATGTTTGAAAGTGTAGTATGGCCATCCTCCTGTCCTCCAGGAAAAAGAAAATACAAACAAAAATAACAACAGAGATAAAGCAAATGTAAAGAAAATTTCAATATTGGTGAATTTTGGTGAACATTACTATTCTTGCACCTTTTCCATACTGATTAAAATATATCAAAGTAACAGGCTGTGCAAGAGGAATAACAGCCACCACCCCTAAGGTTTTCATGGGTATAAAACTCATTTACTGAATGGTCACCACTATGTCCTCTTGGTCCTGGCCTGGCACCGTGAGAGATGAATGGCACTGACAGAGATTGAATAAGGAACACCTAACACTTGCTGGGAAACTCCTGTCCTGCATCTGTCCGCATTGTGTTCAATGCGGACATTGTGGTCACCCTGGGCATTTTGACTTTGCAGCCTGCTACAAATATTCCTTCCCCTTTGGAGACAAGTGCTCCTAGCACCCACTCCCTGTTACTGATCCAACCTGTTAGAGCTGTGGGTGAGGGGCTTTCTCACTGGCCTAGGTTCCCTTCATTCCCTGGGCTGGGTGTTAGAAACCAGGATAACACTGCACTTAGTGTATTAAAATTTATAGTCAGCCTGGCATGGGGATGCATGCCGATAATCCTAGCATTTGGAGAAGCTGAGGCAGGAGGATCACAAGTTCAAGCCCAGTCTAGGCAACTGAAACCAGAACTCCTTTCAAAGTAAACAAACAAACAAACAAAAAGCTGGTGATGTACTCAGTACAAAGACACTGGGTTCAAACCCTGGCATTGTTAAATAAATAAATAGATATGCTCTAGATGTAAGAATTCTGGTTCAGCTGTTGAACAGCAGAAGGAAAGTTCAAGGTATGAGATACAAGGCCAAATGACAAAGAATCACTGCCAAGCCAGAGAGAGACATGTCTCAGCAGGTGTGAGGTGTTCTGCTCTGAGACTCAGGGCATGTCAAATAAAAGTGGTAGAAGCCATTGTTTTGGACCAAGCTCTTCCACTGAGTTCCAAGAGACAGGCTAAAAATCAATATGGAGTCTCTCATACTAAAAGTCCAGGCATCACACAATTTCATGTAGACTGGCTCTGTTTATACAGGGATTTCTGTTTGGAAATAAAGACTCAATCATGTGCCCATTGGACAAAAATAAGAATATCTAAAACACACCAGTGAAAAGGTTTTTGTTTTTGTTTTTCGGTTTTTTTGAGGCA